TCCCGCGCTCCCCAATATCAACTGCCTCAATCCTCGGTGGCTGCTAGCTATTGATCCAATGGTCCAACATTTGTTGCAGAGACACCAGCCCGGGAAATCGAGGGATTGCTTCCGCGCCAGGTTTTGCTAGGCGGCCCGAAGAAGACTCGACTTTGGACGGACCTGAATGCATCCGCTTTGAGAAATTGAGCCCGATGTTTTGGACGAGCTGCTGGCTCATTGGGAGCTACGGTTTTCAAGTGACGATAACCGATGTGGGATATTATGCCGAGAAGACGCAATCTCTATCTTTTCTCTGGTCCTGAGCAGGGGTTAATTGCATGGACGGGATGTTGGAAGGTGGGCAAATGGGGGTACGGTATCAGTTATCAGGTCCAGCGCTCCCACGACTCTCTTGCGATAATACTATCAAGCCGGTGGTAATCGCAGGATAATGGGGGCAGTTTGACCAAATTGAAGGATAGAACAAGCCATAGACTCCGTAAGGTACGCAACGATAGTCGAGCATGTCCAAAGTTGTGGGGACTCGGCTTGTTTCGCTGTCTTGTTTCTTCTGCTGCTATCCCCGCCGAAAAGTGGACGGGAATTGCTAGCTTCCGTCCCAGTGTCCGGGAGATCTCCGCGCTGGACCTTGCAAGGAGAGATCAGTCAGTCTTCATCTGGTGCATACTACTTGATCGTGTCTTGCTTGAAGATGGTCATATAATACAGGTTCGACTTGGCGATAGAGCGGAGGGCTACTACAACCCAGAAGTGGCTGATCGTCCTGCCATCAGAGCCGAATTTTGAGAAAGAAGCTAGAGAACCGAAACCTGCTGGCTTGGCTGGGTAGTAGATGGGGCAGCACACCCACCACCTTTTGGTGATTGGGAATATTCGCACGCAGAGTACGATGGTGGTGGTGACGATGGTGGCAGATGACCCAATGAGATATCGGATCGGGGCCAAGACGATGGACCGTAGGACCCTCTATATGAAGGTTTCCACAAAAGGCGCAGATACGGGCTCAAGCTCGCCATTTTGTATGAGCACTACGACGTCGAATGTTTCCCTGTGTTTGTGTTGCTGATGTGCTATGTCGTCTTGTTGGTGGATGAAGGTGGGTTGTTTTGAAGCAACTGGCGAGTTGTTCCCGCCCGTCATTTTTAAGGCGAGGGGTTGGAGCGATTAAGGAGCATATGATCTTGGTGGAGTTGAGACTGTTGCACTAACGGTATCCACCGAAGCACAGGGTATTATCTTACATAGTCTCAGACTGTATTCTTCATAATCCGGGGCTTGGTCGTATATATCCCCAGTTCGATTGATATGATCGTAGCAAGAACGACCCGGAGAACACGTCTGGCCAGGTGCTGTCTGATGATGCCCTGTGCCTGGATGAGACGGTTGTCGGCAATGCTCCCAATGACAAGATGTATCACTCGCGAGTGATGGTGGTGATGTTTGCGCACCGAAAGTATTGGCGAGTTGCGACCCGCTGTTAAGGCAGGCCTGAAGGAGGGGGTGGTGGGGACGTCTCCACTCAGGACTACAACCCTCTCTCTCCTCTTCTGGAAACTGCGAACCGGAACAAGGGATCAAAGCATGGGCTCTTGAACTGGGAAGGAAGAAAGCATGAAAGCCTTCGAGAGCATCGACTTCGGGAAGTCACGACCTATGAACTCAATTTGCGAAGATCAGGCAGCTGCAAAGCGCACTTTCCATCATTCACTGTGGAGGAAGTCGACCGCAAGTTTCTCCACGGGGAGTCTCATTCAAGTCCAGAGGTGGTCCTTCACACTCGCTCCTCTCGCTTCAATTCCCGTCATCTTCAATTTCCGTCCTTGACAACGCAAGACTGAGCACACGTCCCAGCGCCCACTTCACACGACGGAACATTCAGTTCGACGATGGCACCGCACCAAGACATTCCCCTCTCTCAGTGGCTTGAGGTTGCTTCTTCTCTTTCCGTGTTCTTGTTTCTCCCTTCCATGTCTCAAGCTGTCCTCAGCTGTTTCTCCATCTTGTTTCGGCACTTGACGAGAGTACGGTTTACATATGCCCGGGATTCAAGAACAGCGAGTTGAGCATCACCTTGCGAGCCCACCTCGAAGTCGAGCAAGACTTGCTATTGCTAATCGTGGCATATTTCATTGTGTGCGTCTGGCCGTACTAGGGCGGTTGCAATCAGTCTGGGCCTCTCGATTACAATGGTGGACATGGTCATAATCGCTCTGGTACCATGACGCCGTGACGACAGCCAATAGGTACATCATCCATAAGCAGCCCCGCGGTACCTATCAACCCTGGACAAATCAACCGAATCGGCGGGCGTCCGGTAGTCAAACCCTGTCGCAACAGAGATTCCCGAAAGAGCGACGAGACGGTCGACGGGCATGCTCTGGACATGCCCAGCCACTATTGGACATTTGGACGCCTACCTCCTGCGTCGACTACCGTGTCGGGAAACGAAGAGTCTGGTTGGGTACAAGATCCATGGAGACTCTTGTGCAGTGGTGGTGCTGATGCTTGCTGCCACGGTCCCGTATCATTACCACCCTCCCATCTCACACTCCCTTGGGCCATCAGGGCCAGAGCTTCCAATTCCACATCATACGCACACCACTCGTACTGCACACCACTGCGGTCCTACCAGCCAGCCTACGAGCCTATCCAACGTGAGCCACAGGCGCGGTGGGACAAGGGGAGGGGAAGTAGGGGTGCCGTGGTGGTGTTGGCTTTTTGTGGCACCCTTCCATACTCCGCGCCAAATAGACACTGGCAGGACTGGAAAACGCCATGCCCAATGCTAGCTCTTCAGGTTGTCTGGGATTATTT